GGTTCGTGAGGAATTCTGCTGTGCAGACAACTGTGACAAGCACATTCCAGTTCAGGCAGAGTGAGTAGCAAGTTCACAGGCCTTGAGACCCCGTTGTATGTGGTATGCTCTATTTACAAGAATTATCAATTACAAATGAAGATGGAATTTCCACCACAACAACATAAATTGTAAAAAGACTTAGCAAGACACAACAAGAAATAATTATTTTAAGGACATAAAACAAAATCTGTAAAAACCCAAGAAAACTATTTAAAAAATAAAACAGGGGGACTAGGGGAGGGACAGCAGGGGGTGGGGAGGTTGGGGAGAGATACTATGGGGAGAAATGCCAGATATAGGTGACGGGGGGATGGAAGCAGCAAACCACCTTGCTGTGTATGTACCTGTACAACAATCCTGCATGATCTGCACATGTACCCCAGAATCTAAAGTACAATAAAATAATAATAATAAAAACAAGAACAGAGGAGGCTAATTTGTCTTTTGCCAGGTACTTGAAGATGTAGAAGTGACTATATCAAAACAACTTAACAATGGCAAAGAAGTGAACAAATTGATCAGATTGGAGGATACATCTAGAACTAATGTAGCCCTACTTCCTTCTACATTCGAAAGTAAATGATGGGTGGATAAGTGTACACATTAATTTAAATTAAGCAGCAAACATGTATTGGTTCACTACTGCTGCCATAACAAATTATCACCAACCTAGCAGCTTAGCCAATACCAAGTTATGGCCTTACAGTCGGTAGGCAAGAAGATGGATACAGGCTTCACAAGGCTAAGGTATCGGCAGGGCTAGACTTCTTACTGGAGCCTCTGAAGGAGAATCAATTTTCTTGCCATTCTCAAAGGTCACCCATACTCCTTGGCTTCCTTCCTTCATCTCAAAGTCAACAATGTTGCATCTTTCCAACCCTTCTTCCATAGTGACTTCTGCCACTCAAGGACTCGGGTGACTAGATTGGGCCTAACTGGATAATCCAGAATAATATTCCCATCTCAAAATCTGTACCCTTAATCACATTTGCAAAGCCCCTTTTGCCATGTAGGATGCCATTTTCACAGGTTCCAGTAATAAACTCATGGACTTCTCAGGGTATTATCTTTGTGTCCACCACAAACATTTTAGAGAAAATTTGGGAGAATAATTTTATAACCCAACTGACAGGGAAATGTTTATAATCAACAGAGAGCTAATTCATAAGAGACAGACAAAAAGATAAACATACCGTACCATGTAATTTTTTAATTGCATGACCAAACGTATTATAAACAAACTCAAAAATACAGGCTAGATAGATGTCTTACAACATGTGACAAAGTGTTAATGTCTGCCTTGTCACAGCATTCTTAAGAATTAATAAGAAAAATGGGGGAAAGATATGAGTAGTTAACCACAGAAAAGCAAATGCAGATGATCATTAAAACCTCATGAAAATACACTCAACCTCAGTTTTCGAAAAAACACAGAAGTGTATGGTAACAATGAGTATATTTAGTTTCCTAGAGGTACAGTAACAAATTACATGAGCTTGGTGGTTTAAAACAGCAGGAATATATTCTCATAGTTCTGGGGAGAAAAAGTGTAAAATCAAGGTGTCAAAAGGGCCACACTCCCTGTGAAGGCCTGGGGGTGAATCCCTCTCTATCTCTTCCAGAATCTGGTGGCTCCAGGTGTTCCTTGATTTATGAATGTGTAATTCCAATCTCTGCCTCCATCTTTACATGACCCTCTTCTCCCTATGTCTCCCCTCCGTGTATCTCTTATAAGGATTTCTACATGAAATCATCCTGGATTATCTGGTAGGCCCTAAACTTGTCACTCAGTTTAGGGCCTACCAGATAATCCAGGATGATTTCATGTAGAAATCCTTAATTATATCTACAAAGACTCCTTTCCTAAATTAGATCGTATTCATAGTTTCAGGGAATTAACACAGAGACACATCTTTTGGGAGTCTACCATTGAGTCACTACAATGAGGTATCCCTCCCATCAAATTAGTAAATTGTATCTTTTTTCATTGGCATATCCAAGCTTGTAATATATTCCAAATACAGATCTACCAAATATATGTATTGCAAATTTTAAAAATAATTAGTAAAAAGTTTAAAGGAGTTATAATATCCACCACTGTGGTTAAGTGAAGAGATGGGGGGATTCTAATGCATTACTATGGTCTTTGAACTTTTGAAAAACAATCTAGCAAACTCTATTAATAAAAAATACAGAGATATCATATATTATATGACCCAGCTTTTGGAAGCTAGCCCATAAAAATAAAAGCATAGGTATGCAAGGTATCTGTGTACAGGAATTTTATTGCATCATTGTTGTACAGAGGGAAGAAGAATCTGGAAACCAAGTGAAGGTCCAGAAATTGTGGAATGGTTGGGGGAAAAATGTGTTGCGCTTGCATCGTAGATATTATATACTGCATACATAGAGATTTAAGAAATATACGGATGGATGAGTATTAGGTTTTATCATGGCCAGAGTGATAGGTAGATGAAGCAAGAATCCGTGTTTGAGGGTTTAAGTGAAAAAGATTCCTTTCTTTTGAGTCACAACACCTGGAACGGTGTGTCAACTTTGTCCTTAATTCCTGGTGTAACTGAGCAAAGTCACGTGCAACCAGCCACCCTGGGTCTCTGGTTGCTCAGCCTCAGGTGAGGAAGTGGCACCACCTGTGAGCATATGCTAAATTCCAGGAGTAGCAAAGTGTTCTGCCCTCCCTCAGGCATAGGGAGAATATTGTTTTGTGATTTGACTGGACAGATCTAGAGATGTAATCAGTGACTTTTGAAGAGTCATTGCTGAGTAAGTGAGAAAAATTTTGCACCATTTAGTCTAGGAATTGAGAGTCAGTGTTGGATGTGCAGCTCAAAGCTGTCCTGCTCCTGTTTCCTGTAATTCCCCTGGAGTATTTTCGGCAATAGGAACGCACTGAAAAAGTACACTGCTTCCTCCTCCAGAGAAAACAACATGCATTTAAAGGTATAAACTCTGGTATGTTTGCTTTAAAAAAAAAAAAAAAAAAGGCACACTTGCCCAGAAACCTCAAGGCTTCCTGGAATTTCTGTTAAGAATTCAGATGTACTGATGATAAATTTCTAAATACCTTAATTTCAGCCAATTCTATTAACAAATAGGAAAAAAAGTTTCTATTTCTATAATCACAAGAACTGTTTTAAAAAATTGTGGGGGAAATGTGGTTACAGTTGGTAATCAGTGAAAAACAGAGATCAGATAGAGTCCTTGATTCTTTCGAATTTATTGCATATCGTATAGGATAGAGCATCAGGTCTGTACCAACTCCAGGACACCTAGAGATAAATTATTCACATTAAATTTCTTAAAAAGCGTCCAAAGATCAAGTTACTCATTCTCCTTCCCCCTGGCAGGGCTGGAGAACTACCCAGCCCAGGCTGTTCAAGGTCTTTCTTATTTTGAAAGAACCCTTAGTTGTAATGCATGAGTCTCAGTTCCTCTACATTTTGATTTTATTCTACTGTGAACATGAATTACTTTTCTAAGCAGGAAAAAGAAAACAGATTAACTTTAAAAACTTATCTATATGACTTGAGAATTATAGTTCATAAAGTATTTTGGAATGAATTTTTTTTAAACAACCAAATTAGTCACAATCCATCACAATCCATAATCATGCCTAGAGACGTTTTTCATGCTGGTTTTTTTACAGGGGGTTAAAGCCTCAATTGGTTTCAAAGGTCAGAGTGTGCACACAGCAATGGAGGGACAGGCCTTCCACGTACAAGGAACATGAGGCCAAATCTCAGCAATTCGCTTCCTCCCTAAGGCTCTTTCCATCAGTTAAGTAGAGATGATGATCATTCTTATCTGTACAGAGTTGTTACAGGCTTAGGGTAAAAAGTATTTGAAAATTGTACCCAGAAACTAACAATCTATGGAAATCCGAGACAGTATTTCTTCCTGGCCTCATTTTCTTCTTCCTTGTTTAAAATAATCATAAACAATAGCAATACAAGATGTGTTAGGCCATTTGTCCTGAAAATACTATTGGCCTGTTAATTATATCTCAATAATTATTTGCATGAAATTAAGCCAACTTTATAGTATTTGTATCGAATTGGAACAAATAAAACTTCAGGTGGGAGAAATGATAGAATCAGGTTTGTGGTTCCCAAGGAGCATGGGTAGTGCCTAGAAGGGAAAGGTTGTAGGGGATTGGTAAGCCTCAGGTTTTTGATCTGAGTACCAATGACACAATTTGTGATCCTTCATCAAGGCACACACTTTCAATCTCTGCATGTCGCTATTTTTAAGTGTGTGACACTTTAATAAAAAGTTGAAACCAAAATAAATAAATAAATAAATATCCTCTGTGTAGTTTTTAATGGACCTATTTTAACTCTCTCACAATTCATATGCACAACATCCAAGAAGAAATAGAAATTCAGTGCTTTAGAACAGGTTTTTAACTAAGGACTGGAATCAAACTGACCTAAGACTTTATTAGAATAAAGTAAGACGAAAATCTGCCCCCCAGAAATGGTGATTGAGTAGGTCTGGGGTGGGGCCCAGAAATATGTATTTTTTAAATTCAAAAGTTAGGAACCACTGCTCTAAAGTCTACAGCACAGGTTCTTACACATGCTACGAGTTGGAATCACCTGAGGAATTCAGAAAGCGTTATGGGCTGGGTCCCAAACCCACAGCTTCTGATTAAATTGTTCTGGGGTGTGACCTGAGCATCTGGATTTTTTAAAGCTCCCAGGTGATTATAATGTTCAGCATGATTAGTGGAACAGCTCTCTAAAACAGAGGGACGGGGCTTGGAAATCTGTTATAGCTACTTAATCAACAGCAGGTGAGAACAGTGAGGGACCGCGCGTTGTTTAACTTCCTCAAGCCAAATCCACTAGCATCCCACCGTTTATCTGGTCTGTGGATGCCACATAGGGCAAATGTTTATTGTATGTTTCTGTAATTAGTATGTATTCATATCTCACCTGGGTCATCAACCTCTTTTTAGCCTGTAAATTTCTAAATGGCAGGGGCGAGGACAGGAGAACTGCTTTGTATAAGCTACTAAGTGCTACAATTAAATAGATGATCACAATAATGCAGAAATTCCTTTCTGCAGCTCACCAGAGTGACAAACTCCAGCATTTTATATTTCATCTGCCCCCATGACTTCACTGTAGGAAAAGGAAATGCAGAAAAACAAACATCTTGAAGATTGAATGTCTCTTATTCACAGAGGTTAGCATTAGACTGTTGGAAGTAAGGTATGTATTCCAAGATTCAGTCACTCTGGTGATTAAAAAATGGTTGTTTTGATGAAAACATTTGTGCTTCCTATTACTCACTCACCATTTATACTTCTTATTAACTCATTGTCTCCTTTCTAACCTGTGGCTTCTACCTTGCATTCAGTGCCTTCAAAAGCTGTCTTTTCTCAGATATGCTTTATAATTTCTCATACTATATGAGTAGAGTTAAATGGGGTTAGAAGTGCTAAGGCCTCTCATTGTTTATCAAGAAAGTGAAAGTTGCTCCTTGAAAACCACAAAGATTCAGAACCCAGAGTTTCTCTCTTTGAGAAATCATGTTGCTAAAGGGCTCTTCGGTGGGAAGTAGCAAAATCAGTACTCAGTTCTTGCTGAGTTCCCTGAAACTCAAACCTAAAGTGTGTGGATAGTAGGTCTGGGCTGGGAAATATGTATTTTTTTAAATTCAAAAGTTAATTTTTTAATTCAAAAATTAAAACCTAAAGTGTTTGGATAGCCCTGTTCAACTGACATCCCTAAAGGAGCCATGCTCCTCTGCCAGGAACGTCCTCCCCTTCCTTGGTGCTGAAGTTAACTCCTGATCACCCTCCACAGGATACCGCCTGGGTGCTATCCCGGCTCACCAGAAAGGAGGACAAGGGCTTGCTCTGTCCTCTGTACTCTTAACAGCACTTTTGTTCACATATTGGTCATAGGATGTGTCACAGTATGTTATAAATATTTATCTTCTGGTCAGGCTCTTCTGCTAGACCTAGGCTTTTATTAGTGGAGGGAAACTTACTCATATCCCCAGCCTCTGAACTTAGTCTTATGCCTTGGCACATAGTAGGGGTCACACCACGTAATTGCAGTAGACGGTGTTTGCAAAATAATTGCCCATTCTAACAATGTGGCCATATTTATTAGCAGGAGCTTTGGAAGGTAAAGTTTCTAACTGAAGCTGACATTATCCTAAAATAGGAAGCCACATCAACACTGCCTTTTGACTCAATAAATGTCAGATCTCATTCCATCCAAATAACTCCTGACTCTCCAACTGAGCTCTAATGGAAGATCAAAGAGCCTCTAAGAGCTGGTCCTTTTCTCCATTTCAAGAAGTGGGTTAATGCTGATGGTTAATTCTAAGCTCTTGACTCTAGGCTGGAATGGCAATAAAGGCATATCTGACCTTTAACTCTAAGTGAAATAAAATGACTGGAGAGTTATTACAAAGGCAAATGTAGGAAAGAGAAAACTAAGTAGAAATTTGGGGTAGGGGGAACAAATAATCTTTAGATCAGAAGGACCTAGATCACCTATCTGTGCTGTCCATTGCTGCAGCCACTAGCCAAAGGTGGCTATTTAATTTAAATGTAAATTAATAACATTAAACAAAATTAAATAGTTAGGCTACCCTATTGGAAAGTGCAGATATAAGCATTGTCATTATCACAGAAAGTTCTATTGGACAGCACTTGATAAATTCCATTCTTTTACAGATAGGGAACCTGACAGCTGGAGAAGTTCCGTGACTGACCCAAGGATTCACAGTTGGCCCAGACTTGAGATTCAAACCTCAGGAACCCCAAGCTGGCCTCATAACACTCTGTGCTATAGGGTTTGCCTAAGCCAGAGAAAATGAAGAGGGCTAGCAAGTTTCAATTGAATTCAAAAGGGCAGAGTTGCCATTAAGTAGTTTTCTACTAGGCAAACTTACTGAAATGAAATTTGCAAGCAAAAAAATCCTTGGCACAATAATTGTCTTAAGTGGAAAACTTCTGAACAAAAACTTGTCTTTGCACTTAAGTCAAAACACTAAGCTCTGTCACAGTAAAAAGTACTATTCAGTCACTCAATTTAATGTCAGGTAAGAAGTTGCATACTAATCAATTACCTCAGATGCACACACTTGTGCCTATTTAAATGCCTGCCCTAGTAATCATATACTATATTATTGTGTAGCCAAATAGTCCCCAAAGAAAAACGCACCTTCTTGCATCTTCTGAGTATGCATGCATGTGGTTAGGGCTATCACTCACCATCTTTAGATATTAATTACTTGGCTTTTCCAAATGTTTCATATGTATATGTTCAGATTTCTTTTTTATATTGATATCTTGAGCTAGCTTCAATAATACAATGCTGTACCCATGTTTGACCCCCTATAAAAAATATCAGCTCCCCTTATACGTTTAAATTGGGTTTCCAGAAACCAAGGTAGTGAGTTTTCAGACCCAGGACAGCATTCAAAATATAATTACATGAGGAATTTGAGTTGATGTCATAGTTACGGGGACATTTTTGGACATAGTATTTCAGAAAACTAACATGGATTTTATTGAATTCATAGGTGATTGCTTACATTTCAATGAAGACATCTAACCACCTCAGATGATTGTGCTGAGAGCCAGTGTACTATTAGAAAGCAGCATGCTGCCAGCATTAAGGGAAAGTTTTTTTTGCTGGTCCCTGGAGGCAAATCAATAGCATTTGTGTCATTTGACTGTGAATTACAGAATTCCAGATCCAAAATGACTTAATGTAGTTCCTTCACAAAGCAGGAACTCCAGTGATGGATGGTTTAATTTTGTTAATTGGGTGGCATGACAGGTCATCAAGGTGCCCTTCATCTTGTTGCCCTGCCATTGTCTCCACATTGTCTTTTGTTCCCAGGCTGTCCCCTCAGAGTCACATCTCTAGGCAGCATATGCTCACACAGCTGCATCCAAAGGCCAAAAGAGAAGCAGTTTCTCATCACATGTTTTCACAGGAAGAAAAAAACCTCTTCTAGAAACCCTCCTCATACTACCTCTAGCAAACTGCCTCTTACATCTAATTAGCCAGAATTGGGTCATGTCCTCATACCTTAGCATTAAGGGAGGTCAGGTGATTCAGTTACCCAATAATGTGTAACAAATCACTCTAAAACTTAGTGGCTTTAAACAACAATTTTTTAACTCTCATGATTCTTCAGTCTGGGCTGGGCTCAGCAATGTGGTATTTCTGCTTCACATGGCATCTGCTGGAGCTTCAACATGCAAGATGATTTGGGGGTTGGCCAGGCATCTATCTTTCTTCACCTGGTCTCTCCATGTGGCTAGCTTGTGCTTCCTCACAGCATGGCTGCCTCAGGATAGTCTGACTGCTTACACGGTAGCTGGTTTCCAAAACAGTGTAAAAGTAGAAACTACAAATTATAACCTAGTCTCAGAAGCCACACAGTGTTACTTATGCACTCTGTTGATCAAAGCAAGGCACAGGTCAACTCAATTCAGAAGGAGTCGGCTTCTCTTGATGAAAGGAATGGCTAAGTCACATTGCTAGAGACATGCAGAAAGCAGGGATTATTGCAGCCATTTATGGAAACAATCTACCATACTGGAAAAGCAAGTACCAGGCATTTTCAGACTCTAGAGACGTAGCAGATGGATGGTAAGAAAGTCTGAGTCAGGTGGGTAATTAACAGTGAGTCTAAACTAAACTTAGTGCTGCAGCCACCAGACTGGCACCTGCTTTGCTGTACTGATCACAACCTGGACACACCCTGTTTTAGTTAAGCCTCCCTACCCTAGATGGCCTTTGGGAATATAATCAGGCCATTCTCAGGAAATTATACCCTATGCCCAAATCCCATTTGAGTGAACTGAATTAATCTGGCCTCATTTTATTGAAAGTTTAGTTGGTAAAATAATAGATTACTATACCTTTATAACAGAATAAAAATATTCATGGGACAGATGAACTCTAAAGTCAGCATTATGGCAAAATGACATGATCTGATCGAGGTAGCATGTCCTTGAATTTTGCTATATTTGTTCTCTCTTCTTTTCTGCAGGTTTGACATAGTATATAATTTTAAATAAAATGACAGATTACCATAATGAGCTAGAGTTTTCTAAGTGAGAAGTGGAAGGGCATTTCTAGTTGATTTTCATTCCTTTCTCCTTAATTTTCATTTCTTTCTCTTTCTAAGGGCACAGCCGAGGAAGGGAAAACTCTCCAGAATGATTGAATGATATTGGGATGGGTGACTTCACACTCTAGGGAAAACTCAATCACTTAATGATCAACACGTCTCAACATTCTCAAATCCATTCAGGTATCAGAGTATGTAGAAGTCATGATACCCTTTCACACCACCCCAAAATGATGATGCCAGGAACTTTAAAAAGTAACATGCCTAATTTTGGGTAAAACCAGCTCGTATTTTATACTTGATTCTGGGACAGACCACTGAGTGTAGCAGGTGCAAAAAATTATGAGCAACAAACAAACAAAAACTTTGCAGCTGAGAATTTCTATCAAATGCCATTTTTAGAAAATTGATAAAATTGACTAAATTTTAAATAAATTAAAATGTTTTTTAACTTTAGCCAAGTTCTGTTTTTTCGTTAAATGCCCCCATGTAGTTTATGGGACCCCAATGTTTAATATAGTCCAAGATTACCCTGCCATAGGTTAGGAAGAGGGCCCAGGAGCAGAGGGATCTGGTCCAAACATGCCGCTAAAATCCCTTGGTTATAGCATTCTAGTATTGTTATAGAGTTCTTTTGACTCTAACATTTAATTATCTTATTAGAACTATAGTTGAAATGAGACCACTGAGTTCTTTACTCAACAAGATTTATTGAGAGTACACTATTTGCCAGGCACAGTGCTGAGAACCAAGGAGTCATTAATGAGGACAAGATGGTTTCTGACCCCCGCAGGAAGCTTAGCATCCAGCCAAGAGAAGGGCGTGAAACAAGGTGCACACAGTGGAGAGCACAGGGAGCTTAGAGGAGGGCACGAGCACAACACACTTTAAGGTCAGCATCTACATCTCAGTTTACAGCCTCGCCGCCATCTAACAAACAAATATTAGAATTGGATGTGTCCCTGATGTTTCTAGGGACTGAAGACTTAATTTTTACAGCAACCATGGCCCTGGAGCACTTAAAAAGGCAGTTTAGCAAAAGCAATCCATGTTTATGGTGAAAATAGTAATAATATTGAGCAGTTCAGAAGGATATGAAATG